GACCTTTTGATTGTAAGTTTTGTTTAGATTGTTATTGTTTAGGCAGATTGCAAGTGCATTAATATTGCAATCTTGTAATTGAGTAACTACAGATATGGTAAGCAAAACTCAGGTTCCTCTCTTTCTCGGAATTTTTAGAAAGAGCATATTGCTCAGTAATAGTGGTATATAGATTTGTTACAACAATAAGCAGAAGAAAAAAATACTTGTCAACCAAAAAAAAAAAGTTGTTACCCAATTTGGTGCCCATAAAAAAAAAATTCGGTGCCCATCAACCAAGGGTGATGGAAAGTGTAGATGGGATCCAAAACTAACATTTATCTTGTCAATGACTCGAAATATGTGTTTTATTTTCACAGCACATGAAAAGAGTGTTGGTCTTGATTAAAAACTGTGGATCGACATCCTTGAAAGATCATGTTATGGGGAGATATCTGTGAACTCTGAAGCAAATTTACAGTCTGTTATTACAGAGAAACAAGTGTGGGCTGAGTTGTATTATTTCAATGAAAAAGAGAAACAAATACAGTTTCATTTTTTGAAAGAAGCTTCCTATTTGTAGATGATGATGCCAAGGTAGAACTGGTATCGCCTTCTTGGGTTGCTTCATGAATGACAATAGAACATGCTAATTATATTACTTGCAAGTTGCAATAGCAGTTGACACTATACCCCCCACTTGGATTGATGCTAATCTTGCCAACATGGCCGCTTGAGCCTCAAATGGCAAACTAGACGCGTCATATAGCATATTTTTGGTATGTCTATACCTCCCAAGTTTGTGGGGTTAGTAACCCTACCTTTTTTTCACTTATGTATACATGGCTAGACAAAAAGTTGCTGGGTGCATGATGAATCAAGAGCCTGGTTAAAGGGGAACCACGTGGATAGGGTAGTGGCATGGTGATACATTCGATGAATGCAATAGAGAGCAGTTATACACTCATACAAGATTAGGTATAGTTGGCCCCAATAGATCAGGGAAATGATTATATAGTTTTATAAGCATTACTTTTTAGATTACTGCATATGTCAAGCACCTTTATTTTCAGTATTTTTTGAATTTCTTTATGTTAGTGCTATAATGATAACACTACAATGCCCAAGTTGGTGATTTAACAAACTAAATTGGTAACCTTATTGATGGCCTAGCTAAATCATGGATGAGGAAAATTACGGCAGTCGTTGAAACTGGATTGTATGATATGGTGGTGTAGCGGCGAATTTTTTGATATTGATGTTAGAGAGTTACTTTCATAGTGTTCTACTTTGCTATGATGTCACTTTCCAATTACGTCACTTTCCTGTTGTTGTAGTTTCTTATAATGTGATTTTTCTATTATGTTTTACTTTCCTAAAAATTGTCTTCAATATCAATATAATATAAATAGGTGATAGTGTATTGGCAACATATAGTTACATACCCTACACAATATTGCTTTATACTTTTTTTCTTCCTCTCTTATTCTCTTTCTTTTCCTTAATCCTAACATACAAATATTCAAGTTTTCAACTGTGTATCAAGGCTAGATACTTCGATGAGTGGGGTCTGACCTCTAGGGGAACGCTTCACTTGCCTAATGGTTGGGTCGACCCACCACACATTGAGTTGTAGTCATCTACGGGTTTGCCAATTGTTGTCGTCACCGAATCACTCAAAGTTTAAGTTTTTCAGTCATTGATATCTTCATCAGTTGTTTATTAGTTGTAAGGTGCCTAAATTTGTTTCGTGTGGTCCGGTGTCTGATCATCGGTGTGAATTTTAGTATTTTTAGCTTCTGTGGTTTTCAGTCCAGCTTGATACTAATTTAGTGTTTTTCATCTTGGTTTCAACCCGGCTTAGTAGTTTTGACACAGTTTGATGTTGGTTTAGTGGTTTTCACCGTGGTTCAGTTTCGACTCAGTGTTTTCAACTTGGTTTAGTGCCAAACTTGGAGTTTTCATCTCAATTCAATATTGGTTTTGTGGTTTTCAACACCGATTCAGCCCTTTTTCGGTTGATTTAACTCCGGTTCTTCTTGGTTTACCCCGTTTTCAATTGTTGTGGTTTAATTTGTTGTTGCATGTAGTTCATTTGTATTTGTCTACGTGTTTGCCAATTGATGTTGTCACCAAAATCACTATAAGTTTAAGTTTTTCAGTCGTCGATGTTCTCATCAGATGTTTATCAATTGTTGTAAGGTGCCTAAATCCATTTCGCGTGGTCCGGTGTTCAATCATCCGTGTGAATTTTAGTGTTTTTAGGTTCTGTGATTTTCGATCTAGCTTGATGCTAATTTAGTCTTTTTCACCTGAGTTTTATTCTAGATCAGTGTTTTCAACTCGATTTAGTGTTGGTTTAGTAGTTTTGGTATAGTTTAGTGCTGATTTAGTGGTTTTCACCCAAGTTCAGTTTCGACATAGTGTTTTCAACCTGGTTTAGTGCAAATTTGGAGTTTTCATCTCGGTTCAATATTGTTTTTGTGGTTTTTAACACCGATTCAGCCTTTTTTTGGTTGATTCAACTTTGATTCTACATCGTTTACCCTGTTTTTGATTGTTGCGGGTTTAATTTGTTGTTGCATGTAGTTCATTGTGGTGTTGTTAGTTGTGTTCATTTGTGCTGGTATCATTGTTGGTGGTGCTGGTGGTGTTGTGTTGTCCTTTAATGTCACCGTGTTCTTTTCTTCGGTTGTTGTGATTATTGTTTACCATTGTTTGTTTTATTGTTGTCATTAATTGCTTCTCTACAAAATAAAAGGAATCCTTAGGCTTCACACGAAAACCACTTGAATTTGTTGCTTAGGGAGAGCAGTGTGTGTCGACTGAAGAAATCCTTGAATGGTCTGAAACAGTCACCTAGAGTTTAGTTTTTATCATCCTTATTGTCTGCGTAGAAATATTGCGTCAAATATCGTAATATTGTGTGTCGACTAAAGAAGTCCTCGAATAGTTTGAAGCAGTCACGTGGAGCTTAGTTTTATCATCCTTATTGTTTGCATAGAAATATTTCAGTCAAAAGAGTATTTTCTCACTAAAACATTGATGCGGCCCACCTTTAGAAGCCTTTATTCCAAGCTGAAAAATTTGCAACTCTATGCTCCAGCTTAAGTGGGAGTGTTAGAGAGTTACTTTCCTATTGTTTTGCTATTATGTTACTTATCAATTATGTCACTTTTCTACTGTTCTAATTTTCTATAATGTGATTTTCCTATTATGTTCTACTTTTTTAATATTGCAATTGTCTTCAATGTCAATCTAATATATAGATTGGGATAGGGTATTGACAACATATATGATATACTTGACACATAATTTTGTTTCATACTTTATTTCATCCTCTCTTCTTCTTATCTTTATTTTCCTCAACTCTAACTAGGTTTGTCAATTGACTCGGGACCCTTTTCGGATAATCCAATCCAAATCCAATTTAATCAAGTTTGGATTTGTATACATTATGATTAGATTGTTAGTGGATTTGGATTTGGACTATGATTTTGAAATCCGTCTGACTCACAAATCGTATTCAGTTTATATTTTCCTAGTCGGATTTGGATTCAAATTGACCAAGATCCGGTCCAAATCTGATCCGTTGACAACCCTAACCCTATCATACAATTATTCAAGTTTTCAATTATTGAGATGTGTTTTTATGGTAGATAATGTTTTTTATCTTGATAAAGGTGTGGTTTTTAAAACAATTTCCAACCTTTTTTTATTCTAAATCCCCACTGCAAAATGTGGCTAGCTTTAGCCTTAATTCATGGTATGGGTTGTTGAAAAATACATCTAGAAAATGGACCTTGCAAACGGGTGTTTAGCTCATTGTAAACTTGGATCACTTTGTTACCTGCTTTTTAATTTCAGTGTACTTCCAATTGTAAGAGCTTGATTTGTGAACACAAGGATTTCATTTGTTATTTCTGCGTTTTAAGGGAAGCCCTTATTGCTCAGTAGCTCTGAAGGTTGGAGCGCAAAAAAGCATTAACCTCTGAAGATAAATCATGACGGAAGTATGTCCGACCATTTGCAGGAGAAGGAACTGAAGAGACTTTTACTCTTTTGAGATTTTGATGATAAAGTGTGCCTTCTCCTTCAAAAAATTTCAATCATGAATTTGCATGGTTCCCTGTTTTAAAGGAGTTTGTGGCAATCTCTTTCATTAATTCATGACTGTCCTGGCACACTGTTGTGTTGCAAGTTTATTTTTCCTATTTTAACTAGACTATTGAAATTGTGATTTTCATCCCTTCCACTTGCACAGTAACTTTATTTGCTCATGGTGTACCCTAATTATGCAACGGTGTCTTTTTTAGTGGATCGAGAATTTTATTATGTTGGGTACAAAAGTATTGTTTTTATATGTCTATGGATTTAATAAGACAATGGTGACAAAGTTAAAAGCCCAGGAAACCATTTTTCACATTAATGTCAGAAACTTGTTCATTCAAAACAAATGCTGACCTGGAATTGAGCAAGAAGGATCAACCATGTACAATCTGAAGCCTTTTCTCTACAAGAGAAGTTGTAAAAATTTGAATTCAATAAGATTTTTTTAGGATACGGATAAAAGTTGCATTCTTTTAGTTTTAACTCTAATGTTTTGCTTTTTTTTTTTTCAAATTCTCTTGTAAATATTCTTGTGAAGCTTCTGGCAAGTTTCCCTATTGTAACTCTTTTTTTTACTTCCTTGAATCTCCATTTCCAGGGCTATGCCTTTTTATGTATGTCTGTATATTCTTTTTTTTTTTATACAAGGCCTCAACGTAATGTAGCTGACCAACACAAGATCTAAGCTACTTAACATATAAACCAGAGAATTTGGCCTTTTTATCAGTTAACTTTGATTTCATATAGTTCTCAGTGTTGCATTGGCCATCCTGAAACAATTTTGTTGCACCATGTAAACTCATTTGCCTATCAGGTTAACATACTTTTACCAAATCGAGAATTAACATGGACCTTTGGAATACATAGCCCCTAAAGAATTTGCTACGGTCTCATCTTTCTTGAATCTGCACATGATAAGGATTGGCACGTCAAAATCTAGAATTGTCTTGGGCATACTTCTTTTGCGTGATAAACTGATAGTCAGTACGATATAAGAAAACATGTTTAGAGACAACATTGTACAGGGCATCTTATGATGTTTAATGCAACTATTTGACCTGTTCAATCTTTACTTGGACACCAAGTGAATGAAGTGAATAGGATGACTACAGTATGTTCTTGTTGTAATCATTGAAACCTTACTTGTGATCACAGAATCAAAAGAGAGGATTGTTGCTAATCTGGCAAACTTTGCATATGATCCTTACAATTACACGTTTTTGCGCCAGGTTCCAAAACTTCATTTGAGTGCTTGATTTACTAGACTAGCATTTCATTTTGCTCCTGTAACATGCATAACCACCCTTTGTAATTCAAACAGCTTAATGTTTTGGAACTTTTCCTAGACTGCATAACTGAGCCCAATGAGAAACTTGTGGAGTTTGGTGTTGGAGGGATCTGCAATTCTTGTGTTGGTAAGGCTGAAACTAAAACCTTCATGTATATGTAATACTGAAGTGAATCTAATCATATGACTGCTGAAGTAACTCTGAACAGGCCTTTTTTTTTTTTTACAAAATTGATATGTTTTTTTTTCAATTTATAAATCCTAATTTGTGTGTTCCTAATTGTCTGTAGATCCTGCAAATGTGGCAGTAGTCATTCACTGCGGTGGCATCCCTCTTGTCATCCAATGCTTATCCAGTCCTGTTAGGAACACGGTAAGGGGAGAAACATGCCATTCATGGCTATTCATACACATTTCAAATGTTACCTGCTTCATTTTGAATTGGGGACCTTAACATACAACAAAAGGTACACATAACTACAGACAAAAGAAAAAAGATAACTCTTGTTATCACCTTTTCTTGGGGTCACTCACATTATGTGCATCTGACAACAGTATATCTGAAATTTGTCCTTATATTTCCCACTAGCTGTCATCTTATTTTATGTTGCTGTGTTTTTGAAATAGTATCTATCATGGATATTATTTTAAGTTGTGACCATTATAGTTTTTTTCCCTGAGAATAAAAATGACATACCATTAATATGTATAACCTTGATGGGCAAAACAAAGGGGAACCAAACATGCAAAAACAATCACTAAGGAAGTGTATCAGCCAATCTGGAGGGGATGCTCATTTGATGAGTACCCATAATAGATTTGTTATACAACCACTCATCTGTAGAAGGAAAGCGAAGGCAACAGAAACATCTGACAGTGCTGCTGGACCATGCTTTCAACACTCTTGATGACGCCTTGAATCTTTAAATACTTGGGGTCAAATACTTTCTTGCATATTTCCTCTGCTCATGCTATGCAATTATCTGGCAAACAGCAAAATCATGCCATTAGCTGATTCTTAATTGTGACTTGTCATCTTGAATTTCAGAGGAGAAAATCTATCTCTTACAGTCTGGGTAATGCCATTGCACAAAGTGATGCAATCCTTAAACTGGTTTGTATAAATTGTACTGTTCCTCTACCTCCACAGGTTGAATACTGTTACCGCTAAACTGAGCTTCAGTAGCAATGCCCTCTTAAATATACCTATCAACTGTTGAGGTGCCCATTGTATAAGTTCATGCCAATATCTTGAATGCCATTGTTCACCACTCTGCTGCATCACATTCTTCCATCCTGTCAAAATAAGAACAATCAAAAAATAAGTAACTGTGAGATTCTGGTGTCTCCCAGCATAAAATGCTGTCAGCATATGCAGTGGTTATGGTATTAGTGCTCAGCTTCATTCTAACATCACGCTGCACAAAAACGTGCATTCATGGTATGGACTGACTGAACCAAATCAATTTGAACGAAGGGCCAAAGGGGTATGCTCTTTAATGTGTTCCCAACCAGAACCAGTAGAAAATTTCCAATCAGCTGCGCTAGTCCATCTATTTTGATCATTTTTTGCTTGTTTAGTTGATAGCTAGGCTATGGCTGCTTAATTTTTACTAATTCGGCTGTTATTGTGTCTGGCCTTTGCAAATGGTTGTCAAAAATAACCCTGCTAATCTTTGCATTCCTTGGTATTCTGGCCTTATGGATAAATCATGACTCAATCTCAACAAGATAGGACCACTATGTTATCAAATGAACAATTTGATGAGGTTGACACTAATTTGTTGGCATGAATTTCCTGGTGGAGGGAGGTGCATGTATGATTACTTTTTTGGGCTGTTTACACAACAATGCAAGAGTGACTCAGGCTTTTTTTAATTTTATCTTTCTCTTTCACAAATGCATGTGCATTTTTTTAGCTTTAGGCAACTTTTATCTGGGGAAAGGAAACTGGCATTCCAATCATCTGATTGAGCAGCATTACTGTAATATGTTTTTTTTTTGATAAAACTGTAATATGTCATATACTTACTAGGTTTTATTAAATAATTGGTGGTTTGACAAATAAACATCCATTTGTAGGTGAATTATGCTCTTGGGGCTTTGTATTATCTCTGCAATGCATCCAACAGGGAACAGATTTTGAAGCCAGAAGTGGTGGATATAATTGAAAGGTACGCTGCAGCTGGGGAAGTTAGTGTAACCTTCAGCAATTTGGCTCGGGCATTTCTAGATAAGCATGTATCTGAACAACTCATTCAATAGCATGTTATTCATTCGTAATATTGATTTTTTAGAGTTAATATTTTGCTAATACATCAATATTTCTGCGTTGCCCCCCATTCGTGTGCCTCATTTCCTCTTTCCTCAATACATTTCGCACATACGTTTGTCAGTGTATAGATGTTGATCTTTCGTCTCATGCAATGTTTCAAGAAGTTCTCTTTGAAACCATGTGTAATTGTTCCACGCATACATACCCTGTTAGCTTGCCCCCTAACATGGGAAAAGGGAATTTGTTTCATTGCAGTTAACATTTCTATGCTGTCTTATACCTGACCTAGCAATTCTCGGTCAGGTCTTCAACCCTTCCATTGGATTCTCTTCCAGGGCTTTAGAATCAGACTCTATAATAACTTTGGAGAGTCCCAATTTTTGTATGTGCTTGCTCGCTTTAAAGATGAGCTGTTTGTCAAGATTGGGTTGTTGTGGATGCTGGGGTCTCTAATGGGAGAAATTGCATCATTGCTATGTGGTATCAATATCATTATCTAATAATAATCAAACATGCAAGTGAGTTTCACTTTAGTAATTACTCTGCCCATGTAAAAAATAATTATTTTATATAAAAAAAATTGAGGTTTATTTTGTTCAATCATAAATTTGTTAGTGGATGATGATATCATAGTTGGTCGGGCAACAAGCCTCTCTGAAACTTGGTGGAGGGTTTAATCAACTCGATTCGTGGGCGTTTGTTGTTGAGCTACTTAAAAGAAAGTTGTAACTTTACTAACACTTGAGAATTTTGGTGCAACAGTAAGCGTTTTGGTCTAAAAATTAGTATTAGAGTTAGGTTACAGATTCGAGTCCAAGGTGGTTATGAGAGCGATGTCACCCATAGATATACTCTTGTAACACGCTAGTCAGACATTTCTCGACATTTTTTCACACTAATTCGGATAAGATAGCTGTACCTATCAGCAATAAGAGGTTCAAACAAGGGATGCATATGTGATATGTGATGTCTAGTTTGGCACTTTTGCGCTTTGTAAAATTTTTTATATTTTAACTTTGTATCCACAAAAACTAAAAAACTTGCATTATATTTTAAAGGGTTAATCTTATTTTGCACCCTAAAAGATTGTTCAAATCTCAATTTACACCCCCAAAGATCAAAAATCTCAATTTACACTCTCAAAGATAGAAATTTGTATCAATGTGCATCCCCAAAGATAAAAAATTTCAATTTGCACCCTCAAAGATAGAAATTTGTATCAATGTGCACCTAAAATTAAATTGATAAATTATACCTAGATCCCCTCATATTTGTCACTTAATCATTTGAACTCCTTCACATTTAAAATATTCCTCTTACATCTCATAACGTTTGTGCATGTGTAACACATAACCACTTTTCGTTGATATCTGTTAATATAATCATTAAAAAATATGATTTTATCCTAATAAAAAATTATAATTTCATATTACCTTTTATTTTGTGGATTCGATATACTCTAAAGTTAAAAATCAAGCTTACCATTTGAATGTCTAATAAAATGTAGATATTTATATAAAAGGTAATATGAAAAACATTTTATAAATATTTACATTTTATTAGACATTCAAATGGTAAACTAGATTTTGAACTTTAAAATATATAAACCCATAAAATAAAGGGTAATATGAAATTATAATTTTTTATTAGGATAAAATTATATTTTTTAACGGTTATATTTATATATATCAATAAAAATGGGTTACGTGTTATACGTGCACAAATGTCATAAGATGTAGGAGTAATATTCTAAATGTGAAGAAGTCTAAATGATTAAGTGACAAGTATGCGGGAATCTAAGTATAATTTATCAATTTAGTTTTTAGGTGCACATTGATACAAATTTCCATCTTTGAGGGTGCAAATTAAGATTTTTTATCTTTGGGGTGCACATTGATATAAATTTCTATCTTTAAGGGTGTAAATTGAGATTTTTGATCTTTGGGGGTGCACATTGATACAAATTTCTATCTTTGAGGGTGTAAATTAAGATTTTTGATCTTTGAGGGTACAAATTGAGATTCGAACAATCTTTCGGGATGCAAAATGAGATTAACCCTATTTTAAATTTCTTCCAATGACTTCATTATTAAACTATGTCATTTTTCAAAATATTTATTGGAATACGATAGGGTTTTTACCTTATTCCCATGCATACCCGAATGAGGAGAAAGAAAGGCATCTGATCTCCTAGAACAATAGCAGATAAGTGTATCGTTTATTTTTTGGTTTCGGTTTCCACTGCAAAGCTTCTAGTTCCCTCAGCTTTCAAGTGTTAAGTAGAAGGAGTTTGACAAGAATTTGTCACTTTAGAGGGAAAGAGGAAGAGAATGAGAGTTAAGTGATCTTGAAAGTGCACATTACTTAAGTTATGGCAAGGTCCAAACGACGAAGTTTGAGCTGAAAAACTCAATTATATTGTTCAATAGGTAGAAAATATTACATGATTGTGATATTTAAATATTCAGTGTATTACGTGTTTAAAATTGTACGAAAATGTGTAGGAGAAGAGGGATGAGGACAAACAAGAGTGTTAGGAACAGGTAAAATGAAGACTGGATTAGAAGTTATAGGATTAGTAACCAAAGAAGAATCAATAGAAAAAGGAAAAATAGAATCATGAAAAACAACATCTCGATAGAGAAAAATAGCGCCATTAGCAAGGTCTAGAAGCTTTTATCCTTTAACCCCAAAGGGATACCCAAGAAAAACACATTTTCTGAGTAACTGCAGCCTTAGTGCCAAACTTAGGATTTGATGAAAATTTTCTAATGGTCGATGCCATAGAATCAAGGGAAGGATCATGAGATATCATATTGGGCTGCCTCTCTTCTTGTTGTACTAATGAAAATACCTTGTTAACAGGAGGGAATGGTTCTAACAACATAATCTGATCTCTAATATTAGTGTAAGAATCATTCAACACCATGAGAAACTGGATAAAACAGTCACTTTGATGTTGATCTAGCAAGATTTTCAACTTACCACAACTACAATAAGGAATTGGATCATGGACAGAAATTTCATCCTATAGAATCTTCAGTTTACTGTAATAGATGCTAAAACAATCTTGTTCTTGCATCAACCCTCCTATCGTCTTCTTCAATTGGAAGATTCTTGGCCCATTTTGTTGTGAAAATATGTCTTGAAGCTCATTTCAGATTTCACATGCATTATCAACAAAAGCAACACTCGATTTAAGTATCCGACTGATTGAATTTTGTATCCATGAAACTACCATATCATTATATCGCTCCTAAGCTTTCAGTAAATAACTATCTGAATTCGTTGGTTTAGAAATTGCTCCATCAATGAAACCTAGTTTATTTTTTGGCCCTAAAAGCTCGTCGCATTGCTCTAGACCAGGTTGCATAGTTGTCGACAATCAGAAACCAGAGTAGTAACTCCAAGGTTATCACAATTTTCTAAGCGACAAGAATTTGAGGGATCACTAAAATTTGAAAAACGTGATGAATTTTATGTGTAGTGGATAAAGCATTTTCTGTGTTTAGTGGTAGAAGATCCATGGCTTTTCACTGTCACTGCTCTGATATCATGTACAAAATAAAGAAACTGAAGAAGAAGATAAAGAGAGCAGAGAGCTCAAACTGTGGAAACATTAAAAGTAATGAATCAATTACATTTGTGCTCTAACTAACTAGCCACATGACTTCCCATGCTGTCGCATGGGAGTCTCCAGCTCAGCAAGGAATCAACCGAACTAACTAACTAATTATTTCACCAATGCACTTAATAATATTATCCTTCTCCATCCTTAGCTGCTGCAGCTGTTCCATCCTTTTGATTCTTCAACTGATGCAGCTGATGTGCTACAATATCCCTTTCCACCAAACCCACAAAGTAACGCTTAAGGCAAAGGAAAATGCTACACTGATCAAATTTTGAGATTAAATTTGGAGTCTAAATGACATGACAATTGACTTGGGCGTCTTTATTTGGTGCCTTGTCATTTAGGTTCTAATAAAAACTCCAAATAATATGTTGTCATGTCCTTTGTCCTTCAAATTTGATCAATATAGTATTACTCTAACGCAAATAAATTACTCTTTATTCATTAATTGTAAGGGAGAATTACATCCAGACTCTCTAAAGTTTGTCATTTAATCATTCAAATTCTCTGATATTTAAAATATTACACACAAATCTCTTGAAGTTTGTACGTGCGTAACACTTAAACCATTGTTGTCAAATGTCAATTAATATATCTGTTAATAAATTAAACCCAGACTCCTTGAAGTTTATAGGCGAATAATACTTAAATATTTTAAGTTTAAAATGTTATAGTTAAATAAAAAATACTTTAATTAAAAATCAAATATCAAATATGTTAAATTTTACAATCAAAATTCGTGTTCTATTGTATCATTTATTGAAATAAAATAAAAATCAAAAATTATTTTTTTTAAAAAAATTATAATTAATATACAATTATACTATCTATTAGAATAAAATTAAAAAATCAAACAGGGGAGCTAAGTGATTCATAATAAAACTTGAATTTTACAACTAAAATTCATGTTATATTATGTCATTTATTAAAATAAAATAAAAATAAAAATTTAATTTTTTCTTAAAAAACTGTATTTAGTGTACAATTATACTATCTATTAGAATAAAATTAAAAAATAAATAAGGGGTCAAACTATAATGGAAAAAATATATTCTAACTTTAATTGGGGTAATCTAGTAGTTTAATTTGGTCGTTTAAACGACTAAATTAAATTTTAATAGATAGTATAATTATTTTTTTTTGATCTGATAATATAATTAAATAGTAATTATAATTTTTTAAGAAAAAATTAGATTTTTATTTTTAATTTTATTTCACTAAATGTCATAATAGAAAATAAATTTTAGTTATAAAATTTAAAATATTTGATATTCTATATTTGATTAGAATATTTTTTTTTCAAAGCATAACATTTTAAATTTGAAGAGTCTAAGTATTACATGCATATAAACTTCAAAGGGTCTATATATAATTTATTAATAGATATGTTAAAGGACATTGACGACAGATGTCTAAGTGTTATACGTGTACAAACTTTAAAAGATTTGTGTATAATATTTTAAATATTAGGAGATTTAGATGTAATTCTCCCGAATTATAAATATAAAATGAAACAATTCGTTGGACAAAAGATTGTTGTTTTGGTCATTGAATCCGTACATCATCCATGTTGTCACAAATCTGTCACTTTTTCGATCTCTCTCTCTTTAAATTATTTTTTAAAGCTGGAGCTGTAAGGGAATTATTACAGGTTTTGAATTGAGTGGGGGTAGTTTTGGTAGTTTGAAGGACGTAAAAAGGACAAAAATTACAGGGTGACAGCGAACAACTCCACTTATGTGTGAGGTGTAATTTTTATAATTATATTTTAACTCCCTCAACTATGGCTATTTTCTTATATTATTCCCTTAGCTATTGTATGTCTATATAATAAAATAGTATACCATTCAAATTTCAAAAAATAAACAAAATAACTTTTGTTATTTGCGGTTGAAATCATTTTAAATTTTATTTTAAAGTTAATCTAACGGCTAATATTAACACCCTAAATTTAATAAGAAAAATAAGTCTCTAATAGTGTATTTGGAATGACTTTTTAAAAATATTTATAAAAATTATTTCTTATAAGTACTTTAAAAAAAAAGTGTTTGAAAACGCTCCACTACTACCTCTACAGCCACCACCACCATCACCACCGTTGTCACTCCTACTATAATCGATGCTTAAATTCATTTGTCTCTCCTTAATGTTTATGATTTGATTTTGAAAATGAATACAAATATATTTATTATTTATCATTTTTTTATTATTTTGTGCCTTTAGGCACAGATAATAACTGATTTCTTATATTGCAACTTCCACTATATTTTATTTTTAACTATGTTATTAATTTCACATTGCGCTAATGATTAATATCTATTATAAATGTAGCAAAAAGTTATTTCCTTTTCTCTCTCGAGCTATGTGTCTTATTTCCTTTTACGCCTCACACAATTACAATTTTATGTCAAAAGATAATGGATATTTGTATTTGGAACAATGTGAAATTAATTCAAATATTTCAGTGATAATGTGAAAATTTTAATAATGTAGTGGTCAAAATAAAATTGAGTTTCATACTTGAGGGGTAAAAGTATAATTTTTCCTTTCCTATTCTGCTCCCCTCGGCTGCTCTAGTTAGGCTCTCCCTCTCCCTCTCCCTCTCCCTCTCTGCCATTTTATTCACGGGCGAAGTCTCTCTCTATCTCTCTCTCCATATAGATATCAAGACCGTTTAATCAGAGCCATAGCAATCGGAAAATGGCATTTGAAAAGATCAAGGTCGCAAACCCCATCGTTGAGATGGATGGTGAGAAGACCTCACGCCTTCTCTCTCTCTCTCACAACCCTTTTAGTTTAGTGGGATGTTCGGATCCAATAACCTCTGATAATTGAAACAATTAGATACAGATCTGTTGCTCATATGAGTTAGTTATCGATCATCTATTGGTACCAAAACTTCCGAAAACAAATTAACTTTTGATTTTTATCTAGTGAATTTTAATGGGTCTGGATTTGTTTGCTTGTCGCCTCTCTTACCATTTATTGCTCCATTTTCTCCCCAAAAGCTAAGGGGTCCTGTTTCTTTCATGGAATTCTTCAAAAATGTGCGTATAATTCAAGTAGTCTTACACAAATAAGGTTGTAACAATGATTCCCATTCATTTATGAATTTGCTTTCAAATGGGTTGCTGTGAAATTGTTCGAAACATGTGTTACTGGGATGTCCATTTGTCTAGTTTATCTATCTTGGTATTTTTTTTTTCTTCCTGTGGTGGGACTCCTCATATTCTCTGGAGAACTGTCTATTTCCAATACTACTATTATTGCGAGCTGTATATGTACCTATGTTTTTAGTAAATATTGAATGGAAAATACTATTGCTTTGGGCTTATTGATGAGGATTCTTTTGATTACCCATTGTATTTTGGTTAATCTAGCGTGGGCTTACTTTAAATGTGAACAATTACGATAACTACTTGGCTCCACTTTCTTTTTCCATCTTTTCCATGCACAGGACACCTCTAGAAGCCGGATGTCCATATAAGGGTTTTGTGTTCCACTTGTTGGTGGAATATGGGTCATTCTTATGTTCAAAGGGGTCCACTAGATATGCCTTCTAATGCTTGTCATGAAATTTTCATAAAGTTGTTAATTTTTGGAGTATCGACCTGGCTCAGAACGGTTTAATCAAAGGTGCGGTTTGTTGTAGTGCCAGGAGAAGTGCTAAACATGTGGGTCCCTCCGACATGCTAACTGTTAATTAGTGAAAGTTCTCTACGCCTTATAATTTTAGTTAATTTTACATAGCCTTGCAATCTAAAAAGATAAAACCGTTTTCTTAGTGCCACTCTCCAATTGCTGCCACTCCCAGTACTAAGGCACACCAGTGTGTATGTGGTGAAATAACCATTTTTCTTTACTGGATAGGTTCAAGGCTTTCAAGTGTTATTTTCTATCATGGACTATGGTGATATTGCTAATTGAAAGTGGATGTCAAAAATTGGTCACTTGTAGGGGCTTCACTGCAGCATGTAGACTTTTGAATATTTATGAGTTTTGGACTTTTACAGACAGAAGCCATTTTTTGTGCTATATTTTTGGTCTTTGATCACATTCTCATTTTTGGAGTCAGAGTCTTGGTTCTCATATCAGTGGTGTGGTTACATGGTCCAAGATTTTACGCTTAAGGTGGAGACTGCTTATGCTAGGAAGAATACTAAATGGTTTTGTTTGCATTTGGGAGATAAACTCTGAGGATTTTCAAAAGTACATTGTTTCTGGAATGACTGGGAGTGTAAAATTCCCTAAAAACTCTCTGCAAGTCTCAACAAAAATTAGCAAAAAGCTTCTCGGAACTATGTTCCATAGAAAAACCAAGCTCGTGAAGGTTAAGGGCTCATTCAATCTTCTGCCCGCGCGGTTTGGTTTCTGTGAGAATTTGTGTTTAATTATGACGGCGGTTGGTGGTGATGGTGATGAATTGTAGTGGTGGAAAGATAGTATTATCCAAATTTTGTCTGCAATTTTCACGTATTATTAGTTTGTTGGACAAGAAAATTCACTTTGTTTTTTGTATTTTTTACCCCCCTCCTCCTAATTCTATGATGCAGGAGATGAAATGACTCGAGTCTTCTGGAAATCAATAAAGGATAAGGTAATACGATTTACATGGTTATTACTTCTGATTATTTACTTTCTTGATTTCTTCAGATTATATTTATGAGACGGTTAACTTATATGAATGACACTCTTACACTGCAGCTCATTTTTCCTTTTGTGGAGTTGGATATTAAGTACTTTGACCTAGGGCTTCCTTATCGTGATACCACAGATGATAAAGTTACAATTGAAAGTGCAGAAGCTACTCTTAAGTATGTGTTGTTACTTCTCTCTTTTAACTTTATGATGCTTTGAAAATCCAGCTTGGTTGACCAGAAAATTTTATCATAATTTTCTAGCATACAACCTCTCCCATCTTGTTTGATTATCCTTTCGGATTAATTTTTTGTTTACTTTTGTTCACTTAAGTTGTGGTATTATTTTTTATGTTCTGCAGTCTTTTTTCCTACTGAAGTCTTATGTATATGGTTTAATTGTAGGTACAATGTAGCAATCAAGTGTGCAACCATTACTCCAGGTATGAAAGGATTTGATTGGAACACAATTTGTAAACCTTTATAGTTTTACTGGGGTCGCTGCTGCTTTATCATTGTCAGATATGGGGAAAATTTTAATATTGTGTGGGTTGATTATTTACAGATGAAGCTCGTGTGAAAGAGTTTAACTTGAAGCAGATGTGGAAGAGTCCAAATGGGACTATTAGGAACATTTTGAATGGTCGGTGGACTTGTAACTTGCAGCTTGTAATTCTTCTAACTCACACTTGCTTCACATGCATATGTTTTTTTTTTTTGATTGCCAATTATATTTCTTAATCATTGCAGGCACTGTTTTCAGGGAACCAATTATTTGCAAAAACATTCCCAGGCTTGTCCCTGGTATTTACTACATCTTTTGGATCTTTTGTTTTCGTTCTTTTTTATTTGATGGAACACTGCAATACTAATTGGTCCTGTCTGCAGGATGGACAAAGCCAATATGTATTGGAAGGCACGCTTTTGGTGATCAATACCGAGCAACTGATACTGTTATCAAAGGAGCTGGGAAATTAAAATTGGTGTTCGGTAAAGTTTGATGTTTTCTTTATTTTTTTTCTCTTATGAAATGGTTTTCTAGGACTTCAGTACTTGTTTTACCTCATTATTCTTTTATGATTGCTGACAACTTGATTTTGGGTGGTCATTCCTGCTTTGTTACCTTCTTTGCTTTTCTAATCAGCTTAAAGGATGCTTAACATGTGTGCAGTACCAGAAGGGAAGGATGAAAAGACAGAGATGGAGGTTTTTAACTTTACTGGGGCTGGGGGAGTAGCTTTATCCATGTACAACACTGATGAGGTGTAGTTTCAAGATTATTTGGGGATATTTTGAAGCCATATTTTTCAGATTGATGCAGGATACTGATATTTCTCTTTTCTTTTTTGATCTGGAACACAGTCCATTTTTTCTTTTGCTGAAGCTTCCATGAACACTGCTTACCAGAAAAAATGGCCTCTTTATCTTAGCACAAAAAATACAATCCTTAAGAAATATGATGGACGGTATGCTGCTTGCTTGGCCTATCATTTGATTTCTGAGAATAATCTTTTTCCAGTGGTTTAATGTTTAATCGTGGTATTTTTTTACACCTGTAAATTTGACTCCAGTTTCACTTACATTTTCTTCATCACTTTTCTGGATGAAGATTTAAGGACATATTTCAAGAAGTTTATGAAACCAATTGGAAATCAAAATATGAGGCTGCTGGGATATGGTGAGTAGCTGAACTTGTCAATCTCAGCGAGCTGGTTTGTGGGGCTTCACGTATATGTCCATGACTGTATACATGATTGACTTTGTAGGTATGAACACCGTCTTATTGATGACATGGTTGCTTATGCTCTTAAGAGTGAAGGAGGTTATGTATGGGCTTGCAAAAACTATGATGGCGATGTGCAGAGTGACTTCTTAGCCCAAGGTTTGTATGAAAAGCTCTTATTACCTCAGTTGCATTAATCCTGCAGATCTTTGTAGTTTGCACAGTTGGTTTTGTATCCCGAACAGAGTTGCTGAATTAGGTATTGCTCCTTTTCATTTGGGATTTAAGTTTGATTCCTAATTTCTCGTTTAATTGTTACAGGGTTTGGATCCCTTGGGTTGATGACGTCTGTTCTGGTATGGTTTTTTTTAGCATATTTATTAATTTATTTTGACATGTCTTATTTGCTGTTCCCATGTTTGCACTTATGTCTCATGGTTTCACTCGATTATTTTTCCCTCTGATCTTGTCTAAGTTCTCTTGCTTGTACTCCTGCCCTCAATATACAAGCTTGTTTCTTGCTTATATTATTATTACGGCGTGCACTACTCAAATACTTTGTTTCTCGCTTCCTACAATTTATATACAGGAAGATGCGTTTTCAGTTTGGATTTTAATGCACTCTGGATTGTGTTCAGGTCTGCCCGGATGGAAAGACCATAGAAGCCGAAGCAGCACATGGAACAGTCACTCGCCATTACAGGGTTCATCAGAAAGGAGGTGAAACCAGCACAAACAGCATAGCTTCCATATTTGCTTGGTCACGAGGGCTCGCACACAGGTGCAGTATTAAATTTGTTGAATTGCTGAGCTCTGTTACTATTGTGCATATTGGCTTGGTTTCATGGTAAATAGTAAAATGTGCAAACTGTTCATGTCCACAGGGCAAAGTTGGACGACAATGCTAGACTCCTGGATTTTACCGAGAAACTAGAGGCAGCTTGTGTTGGTGCTGTGGAATCGGGAAAGATGACTAAGGATCTTGCACTTCTAATTAATGGGGCCAAGTAAGCAGTCGTTTTGGGTAATCCCCGTTCATTTCTTCTACGTCACAAATAATAATAATAATAATAATTGTTTTAATATACTTTCAAACCTGGTGTAGGGTCACTAGGGCCCACTATCTGAATACCGAAGAGTTCATTGATGCTGTGGCAGATGAGCTGAGGGCAAGACTTTCTTGCAAAGCATAACTGTATGTGCATCTTCCATTTTTTCTTTAGTTCTGTGGCTTAACCAAGTTTGGGTGTATCGGTTTCCTGTTCTTTCTGAACCCCCTTTAGTGGGTACTTCGTTGAGTTGAGGTCTCATTTTTTGTTCAATGTGGTTGTGGGTCCATTCAGGCAAGTGGGAAGTCCAAATTTTCTGGTTGATCGGGAGTCCAAATACAGAGAGTGATGGAAGGATTGCCTTGGGGTTTTTGTTCCAGGATGGTTGAGCATCATTAAACCTAATTTTATTTGCTACAATATATTGTGCTTTTACTGCTTCAATTTTTTTTTTGGTTCTCTTTCTATATGCATTTTGCAACCTTGAATAAACACTAATTGAGTTATTTTGGCATAGATCAATTTCAAGCTTCTCTGGGATGTATTAACAATTGGATTTTGTGTTGGTTTTTTTTTTTTGGCGGGGGCGGGGGGGGGGGGGGGGG